ACAAACTTTATGGATAACAACTTAGATGGAAACACAAACATTGAACAAACTTTATGGATAACAACTTAGATGGAAACACAAACATTGAACAAACTTTATGGATAACAACTTAGATGGAAACACAAACATTGAACAAACTTTATGGATAACAACTTAGATGGAAACACAAACATTGAACAAACTTTATGGATAACAACTTAGATGGAAACACAAACATTGAACAAACTTTATGGATAACAACTTAGATGGAAACACAAACATTGAACAAACTTTATGGATAACAACTTAGATGGAAACACTAACATTGAACAAACTTTATGGATAACAACTTAGATGGAAACACAAACATTGAACAAACTTTATGGATAACAACTTAGATGGAAACACAAACATTGAACAAACTTTATGGATAACAACTTAGATGGAAACACGAACATTTGAAATTGACACTTGAAAACTGACACCAAGCAGTGCTTGTGATGGGTACCAAGAAGGTCAATGCCAGATCAGAAGTAGATCCAATTAAACATAAACATCTAATCTCTCCACCAGTTATTAACATGAAACATGAAATACATGCAACTAGCACTGAGAAAAGATGTGACTTGCAGGCAAGTTACTAAAATCACTACCAAAAAAAATAAAACCTAATGGAAATCTTTCAGAACATTATGCTTTTTAAAATGTTGTATACAATACAGTTTATCTGTGTCCTGCATACCACAGTGGCTTGTCCCGAACACCCTCCAGTTCCTCAATCCCATGCCCCGAAATAGCGGTCTCACTCAGCAGGATGCGCTGGTGATTGAGGGGCCTCTTCAGTGAGTTTGGCTCAAAGCACTGATCGGTCACATGGTCACATGGTCACATGGTCACATGGACACATGGACACATGGACACATGGCATCTGAGTAAACAATCAAGCCACAGAGATGTCATGTAGCTCACCTTCACCAAAATGAATCTTACATTTTAAGAAGCTGCATTAAATTTGATATAGAAGAAATGAATCTGTTACAAACATGTTCCATATGAAATAGTGTCATCTACAAAAGAGTGCCAATAAATATGAATAACGCCATCATAAAATACGTTATATCATGTGTAGGTCTTACTGGCCACAGTCACGGCCTTGTGATCATCTTAACCAAAACTTAAACATTGGCTTAGTTGGTGCTAACACTAGCTCTGCTTCCTCTCACATTTGGCTGACATGCTATGCTTTACTTGAAATAGTTATAAAAGACATTAAACCAAATTTTATCATTTACTCAAGCCGAAGTGTTATACTACAGCTAAAATACAGTTCAAGGTGGCATTAAATCAAACTCACTCACTCACTCTGACATAATACTAACAGAAGTGATCCATCTGTTCAACCCTCAGACATCAGTCAATAAGCTCAATATAGTTGAATACCAATTCTACCAATTCTTAGAAACCATTGCAGTTCAACCACAAGAAACGCTGTCCTAAATCTAAAGCAATTCTATGGAAATGAAAACAAACCCCAAAAATTGTCACAAAAAAGACAAAAGTGAGCCTAATTCAATTCACTGAATTTGAAATATGAAATTGACCCTAATCAGATACTGTCACAGCATGTGTAAGCAGACCATTGAAACATGAACAAAAATAGCCACATTCATCATACAGTTGGAGAGTTATGGTTTTACAAAGTTTGTGTAACGAGGATGAAAAACTGTGGCCCCTATGTCTGCAGAAGAATAATGGTCCACTAAATATACAGACAACTGTCACTATGACTGAAGCCGTTGATAAACAACTTATACCCCAGTCTTCAGCCGGGATTTACCCACTGCTGCTACACGACTTTTATCATTCATGAAGACATCCATCAGGATACAAACTATTCATGAATTCAGTTACAAAAAAAAATTAAAATTCGAGATTGTCTCCTAAACTAATGAATAATATCAATAAATACAGAAACTGCAATCATAAAGAGTTCTCTTTAAAAGAATGCCTCAAGAAAGAAAATTGTTTAAACCTTCTGCACTTTCAAATGTCTCTTAAACAAGCTGTTTTTATTTCTATTTCAAGACTGTAAAATGTGTTTTGCTACATTGTCTTACTTCCTGTTTCTTGGAATAGCGCCCCCATGTGCGTCATGGACAACCTCTTCAGTAGCAAGCTCCCCTTTACCTTCAGACTCCGACAACATATTGATCCAACATCAATACATCAAGGAAGCTCTCGTACAATCTCTTTACGACATCAGATTCAATCTTCTTGATACATTCATATAAAAAAAGCAAAACAATTCTGTGCCAAGTAAGTTTTTAAATTTTGAATTAGTCGTAAACTCCATGAATTGTGATTGTCATCTCCAGAAGTGGACTGAATGAGATGAGTGGAAGGAGCTCAGCAAGCAGTTATCCTGGCTCCATCATCACTGCTCTGTTTGTAGGCGATATGCAATGAAGCAATTACAGCACTGATATCTGATAAGCTGGCAGCCATGCAGGTTTGCTCTATCTCAACAGCTGTTGAGGTAGCAAAAGTAATGTAAGTCCCCATGGTCCCTAGTATGGTGATCTCCCTTCAGTTGTTGGCGATCTCTAGCCACTTTTTCATATTGTATTGTCCAATTAGTGCTATTTGTTTTAACTTTCTTCAAAATGTGATATTCTAGTTGTTTTACTGTCCTTCGTCAGCAGGTTTTTATAATTTCTATATATATTCTATTTCCATGTCAAATGTTCTCGTCACGATATGGCTGCAATATTGCCGATGTGACGTTAAATAATAACTCACTCACTCACTCAACAGCTGATGCATCTTCGCAATAATACCACAGATTTTCTGTAGAACCTCCACATAACATATTGTTAATGCTACTCAGAGGAAGTTAAGAAAACTCATAACCAATACAGTTAAAGGTCACATGAAACCAAAAAATCAAACATAATTAAAACACAATTATCACTTATTCACGACATATAATATACATTGCTGGTTATGAAAAAACATATAAACAAAATTATAAGCGTACAATCGTAAATCAAAAGTGCAATATTGTGTACTTGGGTTTACTTCCCAAGAAACGAAGCAGCCAGGATACCGAACCCAGTCAGAGCGGCTGGGTGTGCACTCAAGTGTAACGGCTGGTTCATTTGCAGATGTCCTCACGGCTCATTGTGTGTGTATATATAGAGATGTTGGGTTTTGTAAATACATGCTCATTTTTTGTGTATAACATTTTGCAGTCAACAGACATCATAACATGTCATGTGTTCAAGTATCACACCTGCCTGTCTGTGTAATTACATAATGTCACAGAGACCGAACTCGGGCCATAAATCAATGCATTTTGTTTATGGTGTATAGCCTGATTGGTGTTAAGTTCAAATTGCATGTGGTCAGTGATCGCAGTTGTGTATTGAATATTGTCATTAGCAGACAGGCAGGCAGACACACAGGTGTCAATAAAACAAGACATTGAGTTTTGTCTGTGACAACGACATATCTATATCACAGTTAGAAATTCTGTCAACGCTAAATAATGACATTGCTTTTAAGTATCGAACTGAGAAAGTGACTCGGTAAGAAGAACGTGTGGTGAAATAGACAAATGAAATTATATAAACAGTTTATTTACTGTCATAACATATAAAAAGCTCGCGCCTGTGAGATATCAACAACACATTAGGAAAATAGCTCACACCAAAGCCTTCACCGAGTATTCACCGGACAGCCCACTTCCAAGTTGCGCGAACCTATTTCACTGCGCACGTGCTATGAGCGCAGCCCAGCTGTTGAAACCAGTTTTCCCCCGAAAAGTCGTTTTTTCATCGCGTTATTTTTCAACTTTATAAGTTGAATTTGCATTTTTTGATGATTTGTTTTGGTACCGAAAGGTATCAGAATCTGCAAAGTTGTGTTTTACGTTGCATGTGACCTTTAATGTGTCACTGCTTGTAATTGTGGCTCGCAGCTTTTCAGTTGTGGGTGTTCTGGACTTGTTTTCATTAGCAAAGATTTTCTGAATAATGCCATCCAGTGAATGTGATTTTTTAAAACACATAACCAGGTTTATATATAAACAACATAACCTAGCATGTAAAACTTATGCTGCAGATATTATAAAAATCTTTTTAATGATTGAAACTACTTTCCTTTTTTCGCAGTGAAAATGAATATGTTCACATTTAATTGCACACAACAGTTTAAACAGTAGAACATTTAATTATATGCACACAACAGTTTAAACACTAGAACATTTTGATGTGAAATATTATTTTTCTTCACACTTGATCATATTGATTCCGGACACATGTGGATCTGGGCAACTGACTGACCAATCAACAATTGTAACTACCACATCAACCTCACTGCTCATTTTTAAAGTCAACCTCAGTCAAGTTGAGAAAAAACAGCCTTCATTATCTGCTGACATGAATTCCACACGGTGTACACAGCAAAAGATTATGTACATAACGTCACTGAATCAACATGGAATCTTAGGTCTGATCATTTCACCTCCATGTGGGGCCGTGGGGTAGCCTAGTGGTCAAAGTGCCCGCTCATCACACCGAAGACCTGGGTTCGATTCCCCACATGGGTACATGTGTAAGTCCCCATTTCTGGTGTCCCCTGCCGTGATATTGCTGGAATATTGTTAAAAGCGGCGTAAACCTAAACTCACTCACCTCCATGTGCCCATTGTCATAAGACAATCGAGAGCAAACATACAAAAGGCAAAAAGACATTCAGCCTTTGGACTTACAATTTATATGTCTTTAGGAAACCAGAACGTATCAAAATTTAAAGGGCAGAAATGTAATAATAATAATAATAGGCCATTTATATAGCGCCTTTCCACGTCACAGGGATATGCTCAAAGCGCTTCCTGAGCTCAAGTTAAAACTATATACAGTTGGCAGGTACGGATGATTGGAAGTCACTTGTAGCGAAGAAATAGATGAGTCTTTAGTCGTGTTTTGAATGTACTTAGGGAAGGAGATGATTTTAACTCGATAGGGAGAGAGTTCCACAGAGAAGCTGCTGCATATGAAAAGGTCCTTGAGCCAAATGATTTGAGACTGTAGCTCGGGACAGCAAGTAACAGTTGTTGTGATGAGCGCAGGGTTCTTTCTGGAGAGTAATGTGTCAGAAGGTCTTGAAGGACTGATCGTTGTGAGTCTTTCTATAAAATGATCCTTGCAGCATGCCATTCATGTATTGTGGTCCATTGGCTTTCATACAATTCAGTGATGACACCAGGTGTTCACAGCCCTACTGATAGTAGTGACCACTCACAACTGAAATGCTTGAGATGGCAATTGCTTATTTTTTGTAAGACTGAAACCTTGTTTGTAAGACATGAAACCATGTGACCATGTTCCAGAACTAATGTTTCGACCCTTCATCACCTGTCAATAAAGAAGACGTCATCCATATGGAGTTTCATATTAGCAACAAAGCTCTAAAGGACAATTACTGACATAACTAATAAAGATCAAAACCTCTCTCAGTGTACAGCACTCAACTAAGATGATGGTTCTTTGTCAATGCCATTGTAATATGTCTTATGACTGGGACAGGAACATACTAATGTACATACCTGGATCCCCAGTGCTGTGTCCACACACCAACACGTCTCCACAGTGCTGTGTCCACAGACCAACAAGTCCCCAAATTGCTGTGTCCTCAGATCAACAAGTCTCCACAGTGCTGTGTGAACAGATCAACAAGTCTCCACAATGCTATGTCCTCAGATCAACAAGTCTCAACAGAGCTGTGTCCTCAGATCAACACGTCTCCACAGTGCTGTGTCCACAGATCAACAAGTCTGCACAGAGCTGTGTCCTCAGATCAACAAGTCTCAACAGTGCTGTGTTCACAGATCAACAAGTCTCAACAGTGCTGTGTTCACAGATCAACAAGTCTCCACTGTGCTGTGTTCACAGATCAACAAGTCTCCACAGTGCTGTGTCCTCAGATCAACAAGTCCCCACAGTGCTGTGTCCTCAGATCAACAAGTCAAGTCCCCACAGTACTGTGTCTTCAGATCAACAAGTCTCCACAGTGCTGTGTCTTCAGATCAACAAGTCTCCACAGTGCTGTGTCCTCAGATCAACAAGTCTCCACAGTGCTGTGTCCTCAGATCAACAAGTCCCCACAGTGCTGTGGCTTCAGATCAACAAGTCAAGTCCCCACAGTACTGTGTTTTCAGATCAACAAGTCTCCACAGTGCTGTGTCCTCAGATCAACAAGTCTCCACAGTGCTGTGTCCTCAGATCAACAAGTCTCCACAGTGCTGTGTCCACAGACCAACACGTCTCCACAGTGCTGTGTCCTCAGACCAACACGTCTCCACAGTGCTGTGTCCTCAGATCAACAAGTCTCCACTGTGCTGTGTCCTCAGATCAACAAGTCTCCACAGTTTAAATAAGGATCTTTGGATGAAAACTGATCTCTTCTGATCAAATAACTTGCCCTGATCAAACAAGCTTCCACAGATCACATGGACTTCTGATCAGTTGTCATGTATTTCATCCAACAAACACCAGCCATTCACTATCACATGGGCAGCTTTGGTCAACAACAGTAAACAAGATTAAAGTAAATTCTTCTATTGTCCGAGCTGACAGGCAATCAACACATCCTGCTTATAGCCCCTAACAGGCCGTCAATAATCACCTACGTTGTCCCTAGCTTCGTTAGGTAAATGGACATTTTATTAATCACGTGTCCATTTGTAATTAAATGGAAGCATGTTCCAGCTTGGATGGGGACACATGATGGCTGCAGCACAGAGACAAACAGTAAGGATGATGTACATTATTCCAGCTCATCCCTCAGGACCTCCTATTTCAGGATTATGCCCAAGATTGGTAGCCATGCCATTAAGTGGATCAGATCTACAGAGAATCAGCACAAATTGGCCGATGTGTAACCCTGATTACTACAGTGTCCACTGTGGCCTGAGAACACGACAGATGTTAGGACTGGTCAGTCTCAATAGTGGATAAAGGTGGCAGTGCTAACCTGTGGCTATTCTCTTCCAATCCCATTGCCGTGTTAGATCTTATAATTTGCAAATGGGAACGATTGCAGAAAATAGTTTCTCAGAGACCATTGTTTGCACATATTTTCTGATTGCTTTTGGAAATAGTTTTTGTTTAATGTTAAGGTTGGGATTAGTTTTTGTTTATTGTTTTGATGTTATTTGTGCTTGATTAATCAATCCACTGCCATCTAATAGCAGAACCCACATATTCAAGCTAAAGTCATTGGAACTCTTGCAGTCTAAATGAACAAGAAGGCCAGCTTCAGGAACATATGATGAATGAGGTGAGCAGCCACACTTGGACATTGTGATTGGCAACTTGGAAATTAATGACTTCAGATTGACAAGAAGCTAAATGGATCTGACCTTAAGTGTGTTTCAATAAACTTTTGACCTGTTATGTGAGGAGCTCTAACCTTGTCAGTGTGATCGTACCCTACAGCTGATGCCTTCTGATACTACTACTGCTGTCCATCATCAACGTCGTCATACCGGTATGAGCGAAATATTCTCGAGCACGATGTAAAACCCAATTTCACCTCACCTGTCCATCATCTCCTACTTCTGCAGCTGGTGTCCACATCTGATACTACCACAGCTGATGTCATCATCAGATAATACTACAACCATCTGATAATGCTATTGCTGATGTCCACCATCTGATACTACTACAGCTCTGATACTAAATCAGCTATTGGAGTCTATTACAACCATCTGATAATGCTATTGCTGATGTCCACCATCTGATACTACTACAGCTCTGATACTAAATCAGCTATTGGAGACTACTACAGCCATCTGATAATGCTATTGCTGGTGTCCACCATCTGATACTACTACAGCTCTGATACTAAATCAGCTATTGGAGTCTATTACAGCCATCTGATAATGCTATTGCTGGTGTCCACCATCTGATACTACTACAGCTCTGATACTAAATCAGCTATTGGAGACTACTACAGCCATCTGATAATGCTATTGCTGGTGTCCACCATCTGATACTACTACAGCTCTGATACTAAATCAGCTATTGGAGTCTATTACAGCCATCTGATAATGCTATTGCTGGTGTCCACCATCTGATACTACTACAGCTCTGATACTAAATCAGCTATTGGAGACTACTACAGCCATCTGATAGTGCTATTGCTGGTGTCCACCATCTGATACTACTACAGCTCTGATACTAAATCAGCTATTGGAGACGACTACAGCCATCTGATAATGCTATTGCTGGTGTCCACCATCTGATACCACTATAGAGCTCCATCATCAGATATTACTACAGTTGTCCACCAACTGATACACCTATTGCGCTGACACTACATCAGCCATCTAGACTGACTGACTGAGTTTGGTTTTACGCCGCTTTTAGCAATATTCCAGCAACATCACGGCGGGGGACACCAGAAATCGTCTTCACACATTGTGCCCATGTGGGGATTCGAACCCGGGTCTTCGGCGTGACGAGCCAACGCTTTAACCATTAGGCTACCCCACCGCCCCCCAGCCATCTAGAGCCTTTTAATACAACTATAGCAATGTGATACTACTACAGGAGTCCACCATCTCATACTACTAGAGTGGAGTCCACCATCTGATATTGCTACAGATATCTGATGCTACTCCACACTTCTGTGATTGTTCCCTGCAGGTTTATTGAGTTTATTGAGTCTGTTACATTCCCCTTCCCATCTGTCCTGATGCCCATTTATTCAAACACACGTCAATATTGACATGGACAGCCTATGTGTATTCATTGTCTGTGTCAACTCATCATGAAACCTCAGTCATTGCTGCAAGGTCCACAGGGAGAGCTCTGGGAGCACCATCCCCAGGGGGGTCGTCATGTCACCATCCCCAGGGGGGTCATCATGTCACCATCCCCAGGGGGGTCGTCATGTCACCATCCCCAGGGGGGTCGTCATGTCACCATCCCCAGGGGGGTCGTCATGTCACCATCCCCAGGGGGGTCGTCATGTCACCATCCCCAGGGGGGTCGTCATGTCACCATCCCCAGGGGGGTCGTCATGTCACCATCCCCAGGGGGGTCATCATGTGTCACAGTTTCAAAGTGGTACTGAGATATGAATATGCATATTGGTTGGTTACAATGTCAGGTGTGTATTGCTGGTTCGACCAATGGAGTAGTTGCTTCATGTGCTTCTAATTTACACTTTATGTCGGCTCCTACTCTGAACAGTTAAACCCAACTCACTCACTCTAAAAGTCATTTAATGTTATTGCTACACACTAGAATAGTATGGCATCATTTAATTTGCTGATATCTATGTGTAGTATCTATTAGATTATTAAGCTGATCTATGTATGAATATATACCATAGACTGTTCCCTTGTAATCAGATCACAAACTGATTGGTGACATTGCCTAGACAATGCACACCAGGCTCTGTGTTAACTGGAATAATTAAGAGTTCACTTATCAGACATGACCCATTCTCAAATGTTTCATTTCTGAAATCTCTTGATGACTTTGTTCCATTTCTTAACCCTAAGGATATAATGGTATATTCGTTAAGTCTATAGATGAGTTTTCTTCATTTCTTAAATCTTTAGATGAACTGTTTAATTTCTTACAGCAATAAATAATTTTTTTTAAAATATTTCTTGATGTGTACAGGTGAAAAGCTTCATTGCTTCAGTCCATAAACTGTTTCATATCAGTCATCTACAGATGTAATATTTCATTTGTATGTCTACCATGAAATGAGATAGAGATCCTTATGCCCGATTAAGGTAGTTGCACAACTAATTTAATAAATATATACAGTGAAGCCTCGTTAGTCCGGACTCCGATAATCCGGAAGTCTCACCTCCCGGGCGATTTCAGCTTGTTACCAATCTATGCCTATATAATTTGCCTCGATAATCCGGAAATTCGGTTTCCGGAACCGGACGGTAAGTAGCTGTCACCAATCAGTAAAATAAACAGTAAATTGCTTCACAGTCCGGATGCTGTAAGTCATGTTCACGAACCGTAACAACACTTCCCGGCGATGTTTACTTAATTAACTGGCCAACTGGGTTGTTGTTTTAATAAGACATTAAAAGCTCCCGACTGAAGATACTGTACATTTACACTTTGATTGACACCACAATACAAAGGCGTGGATGACAAGTGAACTGTTTTGTGATTGGTTAATGTACTTTGACAGACAGATGCGGTCACGTGGACTTAAAGTGATTTTGCTTTACGACAATGTTGCAAGTCACAAGTGTGCTTCGCTAACTTTGCGAAATGTGACCAAATACCACGTCTCATATTCAACCGATGGATGCAGGAATAATTAGGACATTCAAGGCATACTACAATAGATCGCTTGTTAGACATTACCTCACCTGTGCTGAGTCAGGACGTTATCAGACACGTCGGATCAACATGCGGACGTCACTCGGTAAAATTATTGATGTGATGAATTAAGCTTTACACTAAATGCTTATTTGTTTTATCCAGATTCGTGTCGTTTTTGTAATAGTTAGGGAAGCAACTTGGGTCTTGATTCAGTAGTCCGGACTATTCGCAATCCGGACGAATTTACTGAGAAACGCAACCGTCCGGATTAACGAGGCTTCACTGTATACTTATGAGTTCATCTTAAGCATTTTTAACATCAAGGAGTGAGTGTGACTGAGTATGGTTTTACGCCGCTTCTAGCAATATTCCAGCAACATCACAGCGGGGACACCAGAAATGGGCCTTCGGCGTGACAAATGAACGCTTTAACCACTAGGCTACCCCACCTCCCCCTAACATCAAGAATCTCCCAGTTCACCTATATAGGATGGACTGGCAGTTTCATTTGTTTGTTTTGAATGGAGACTTCAGTCTGAAGGTGATTTAACATGATATAATATGGTCACTTCTGGCAACAATTGTTTTCACAAAATGCTGGGGTGAGCAGGGAGACAGAATTTGTGAAGTAATTCTGAACACTGACAAACAAAAGTAGAAGAGACTTTGTCATGGATATTAACAACAAAATTCTGGCTTCTTCATTGCGGGTTGGAACTGAGATGTTGACAGTGATTTCACTTTTTAGGCTTCAAGCAGTAACTAATGATTTCACCTTAGCATTGCTTATAGAGTGTTCAAGTGCGTGTGAAAGCAGTGACATTGTTGTCTGTCTCAGATAGAAGTATCACCAAGATTCCTCGAAGGAATGGTTCTGATCAATGCTACATAAAATACATGAAAACAAATATAAAATATGCATACTATTTGACATTCAATTGTTTTCAGGAATATATCACTAGATATGCTCTTGAAAGAACAATATTTCATAAATATTCAGCAATACAAGGAAATGTTTTCTGTGCTACATGTATTTGTACATTATGATACAAACAAATTATGTTTATGTATTATAATATTATGACCCTTGTTTGATTTTCAACTGATCATACCTGTGTAACCGATGCGTGCTCAGTAACCCATGCTTATCAGGTCAGGCTTGCTGACTTGGTTGACACATGTTGTCGTATCCTAATTGCGTAGATTGATGTTCATGATGTTGATCACTGGATTGTCTGGTCCAGACTCGAGTTTTTACAGACCACCTCAATTTAATTTTGTTGAGTGTGGCGCAAAACTAAACTC